TTACATGACCTCGTTTGCGTTGCAACCACCTTGCTTCGGCCAAGGTACCTGGCTTCTTGAAAGGGGCTGCCACATTCCCAAGCTAGTTCTGATGTGACATACAAAGTTGTTGCATGTTACTTCAGTGGAAGCCAAAACATGCTTTGCTCACAGCATATCTGTGGGCACATAACATATTTATATGCATATATAATATATATCCGCATATCCCGAAATTTGCGGATGTGGCAGAACTAGTGCAGGTCCTCTTGTCTCTTTCAGACGCCCGCCAAGAAGAATCTTGACCTGGTACCAGCATTGAAGAGGCTTAAGCAAACTCAATGAGCAAGACACCCAATTCCTCAAAAAGAGCTGCTTGTGCGTGTAGTGTTCGCTTCCAATGTCATGCCCTGCTTTATGATGTCACCGCAGTTGTCAGCCTTTTGAGGTGCTCAAGCAGGCAGTAGAAGGCGGCTGTTTGAGTTTGAGGTCAAGTTGTTTTGCCCGTGGCCTTGCCTCCTTACTTAATTAAGTAAGGGCGTCTAGTTTGCTCCTGCTAGGACGCAGGATAGCTCACGCTTCTTCAAGGAAGCTCCCCCCGCCACCCTAAAGGCGGCGGGGGTGGAGCTTCTTTGCTGACATATGCTACGACAATGCTATCTTGAATCTTGATGTTCGTGGAAGGCCAGCTTAATTATATCATCTGTAAATGATCTTCGTGGGCAAATTTGTTGGCAAGGTAAGCCCCTTCTCTCTGTGGTTGTTGGAAAAACAATCATCTGAAGTGTGAAGGGCCAACTGGATCGTCAGAGTCTACATGCATTAAACTTCTCCGCTTCCTGTTCATGTATATAATTGCTCGTCTGCTCATTCGTTCGATGCACCAACTTTCTGTTAAACATGCAAATCCATACCAGGAAACCGTCACAGCGTCATTGCACGCAAGGAACATGGTAGCATGACAAAATAGCCAGAAGAAAAAAACATCTGCTTGCCAGCGATTGTGTTGAGCTAAACATCGAAGTGACACTAGCCACATTGCACTTCCTTTGTCTCTTGACTCTGCATCGGAAATCCCCGCAAGTCGAAATATGTGAATCGATCAAGACTAAATGTTGATTATGTAATATGTATAAGTATAAGTATACATGTACTATCATAGTATACAAACGTACTTTGCTTCCGTCCTTGGCCCTAGTTGGTGGGGCAAAGGGAAAATAAAGGGATAAAAGAGGAAGTGTAGAAATCTCCAAAGAAGTTGGAGAACTGTTGTGAGATCTGCAAAATCAATCAAACATAATCAGACTAAGGCGAACATCCACAGGTCCGAAGGTCTTGCGTATGGCCTTTCTCAGGCTCCATCCAGATTCTGTAGCATCTCTCCTTCGACGTCTGCGTCTCACACGGCGCTCACCCTCACCCCAAGGACCTGTTCCGCTTCGAGCTGAGGCAAAATGATTGAAGTTCTTTTCTTTGGCCCGAGGCCCCTGCCTCCCTGCTTGATTAAGTAGGCACCTACTTGATTAAGTAAGGGAGGTAAGCTACTAGGCTAAGTTAGCTTCTAGGTAGGACGCAGGATAGAAACACTTTTGGGGGAAATTTGTTCATTATTGAAGATGATCGGAGCATCATGCTATTATATATAGTAATTCTCGCATTTGACCGCACCTGCCTGCTGAACTGTCTGCACGAAGCTGAGTGTAACTGCTGGCACCTTGGTCGAAGGAAGTCGCCTCGTAAGTTGCAAAATCTGTCCCTCGCGATTCAGAATGTTAGATCAGAATACATCCAAGGACTCTCCATTGTAATTACACAAGCCACTCTAAGACTGGAACAAGTAGGAGAATCAGGCAGCAGATCCTATCAAGGGTGTTTTTGTGAGGACACTTGAACGCATCTTTGGCAAACTGTGTTCATCTGTTTTCAGGACCAAGTCGGGGAATGCGAGCTTTAGAGTGCCCAGAGAACTTAACGAGCGCACTATTCTCACATATTCTCACGCATCATCATGCAGCGGGTGCTCAACAACATGCCCCTGACTCCGTACGAGTGCTTCGACCCAAATGGAGCCTTGCTGCTCTTTCGGCGCCGCGCTTGACCATGCCTTGGAAACATTGGCCCACATAAATGTGGTCTGGTTGCCTTGTAGTCCTCATCTGTCACATGTCACAAGCATTCTCAAAATTGCCAAGCCATGCCAATTTATACAAACTGCCTGTTTGGACAAACATCACAGTCGCGAATCGCAAGAGTCGCAAACAAAACGTTCGATTCAGAAGCACTCATGCGCCGGGCAACACTGGACCTCGACCCGATGGCGCCTGCAGAATCATAGTTCAATTAAGATGGACTCCCTCGCCAGACTGTATGTCTAAAAACATACAAAATGGAAAACAATTTAAACGGGGCCTTATTGAGAAACCCAAACACCTTCTGTGTTTTGAATACAGTTACTTATATTCCCCATATGCTGCGACATGCTCCACTTGCAGGCCAACCAAGAGCACAACCAATGTCCATAAATTAAAACTCGTATTCCTTTCTAGGTATTTATACAACCCTCCCTCTCCAAGCACGCGCACAATTTTTGGAGGACCACCATTGCAGGGGGGGCACGCTGCAGGGCTGGCAGGTCAGCACCTGCAGCAGAGCCCCCCCCATAACTCACCCGGCAGCACATGGGCTGCCTAAGAGAAGGCACCTACCATGCCATTCAATTAGGGAGGGAGGGTGGGACAAAGAGATTGCACTCAAAGTCAACCACCACTACACCTCAAACCAATGGGCAAAGAGATTGCACTCAAAGTCAACCACCACTACACCTCAAACCAATGGGCCACTTCTGACAAGCATTCACGCAAGCTTATACTGCAATGCACAACGCCAGCAGCAAACACTCAGTAAGCACCTGGAGGTGAGGGTTTGTTGGTTTACCTTGCAGGCAAAGCTGTCCAACCCTCCGTCTCCAAGCACGCGCACTATTTTGGAGGACCACCATTGCAGGGGGGGATGCTGCAGGGCTGGCAGGTCAGCACCTGCAGCAGAGCCCCCCCATAACTCACCCAAACTGAGCGTGGTCCCACCAATCTGTCATCCACTCCACTCAAAGCGTGCTTGGCAATTAGGCTAACGTGGTAGCCCCAAGATTAAGTTCAGCCAGTCTGGGAAAAGCTGCTTTGATTTGGAGAGCTGCGCCCAAAAGGAAGGGTCTCGCGTTGCTCCGCGTGATAGGATGTCAGCCCACTCATTTCGGACGCCAGCAACATGAGAAACTTTCAAGGTGATCCGCTCTTTTAAGCAGAAAAGCGCAGCACTAGCCAGCGGCTGTTACATGGACAAATGCTTTGCTGTGCTGCACACTACACCACTGTTGACGAAGAGAAATTCTCCCCATCTTTGCTTCCAAAGATAGTTGCGACCGCTGGCACAACAAAAGGATCAACTGGGCTAGGGCCTCCAAGGCTGCAATGGCCGATTGCAAATCACGCAAATCTGTTGTAAACCAAGCTGGTAAAGCGGCCCATTCTACTTCGCAGGACCAGAAGATGTTGGACGGGTGGAGCTCTGCGCCCTCTGGCAGGAACCAACCGCCCACACCAGCCCGGGTCCCTTCTGCATAGGCATCCGCTGCCGCCGCAACGCAGGGACCGGGGAGGTCAACCAAATGCACCGGCGCATCCTCTTGATGTTGAAGCAACCGCATGAAGCAACCGCATGACAAACCGGGCCACTGCAAGCTCTTCAGAGGCTAAGCAAATCTCTGCTGAACCGTCTTCACAAAATTTTAGCCAGGCTTGGTCACGCTTGAGGGGCGCACACAATATGTCAGCCCGGTTTTGTACCGCATGGCCACCAATCTCTAGCAGTTTCCAGCCAACCTGAATATCACAAAGCCGGGGAAGGCGGGATACCCTGCAGTCCCTATCCAAGCAATGATACAAATCTTTCAGCTGCTCGCGTTGTAACGATTGAAAGCGCAGTCGCACTTTGCCCAGCATATGAAACCAAACTTGCAGCCAGGGTTTTAGCCAAAAAGCTCCTGTGGTGTACCACACAAGACGCCCCACCAGGGTTTGTAGCTCTTTCCGGTTCACCCTGCGGGGTGTTGCACAAATCTGCTGCAGACTGCAAAGCATGGCCTCAAGCTTTGACGCCGGCAAGAATGCGCTGGGGTAGCCCTGAAAACGCAAATCCCAGCCTATCCAACTTAGCTGGTCGCCAAGGTCAACTTTGTGCCGAGCTAACGGAAAGCCAAGTACACAGGCCAGGATCAGTAGCTGGCAGGCCATGGGGGCTGCTACCCTGCGCGGGAACAATGCCAATGCGTCGTCCACATAGATGCAGAGGAAGTGACTGTGATGTAAGAATCGATGCGCTACACGGATGAAGGCAGCAGCAGCCCTGCTCCACCAATACGCCGCCCAAGCATACCCAAAATGGCAGGTTTTATAATAGACCCACTTTGTAGCCCCGCTGTGGTCTTTGACACAAAATGTGCTGAGCCCCTGTTCTGCCGGGTGTACAAAGAGATTGCACTCAAAGTCAACCACCACTACACCTCAAACCAATGGGCCACTTCTGATAAGCATTCATGCAAGCTTATATTGCAGTGCACAACGCCAGCAGCAAACACTCCAGCTTGCAGTAAGCACCTGCATGGAGGTGAGGGTTTGTTGGTTTACCTTGCAGGCAAAGCTGTCCCAGATTGGCCTGGGCGGCACCTCAATCAAACATAATCAAACTATTGCCAATTGACGTGGAGCAGTGCAACAGGACCCCGGTTCGGCCGCATCACCAAACCCATCAAGACCACTCAAAACCCTACATTTTTCAATACTTGCCTTCGGGGTCTCGCTCTGAGCATCAGCCTGGCCAGCAAGGACAGCCTGCAGGGCAGCACACAAAGTATTCTCTTGTTTGAGAGTTTGCCATTTGTGATGAATATATATGAATATATATTGATGAACTAATATATGCAATGGATCTGTCAGTCGTCTGATTAGCCCTTTCGCAGCGCAAACTTTCTGCACACATCCGCACAGGACTCGCGTGCACTGTGAATCTTAAAATCTGCAGGTCACGGGACACACCCAAATCTGTCACGCAAGAGGGGCATCTTTCAATTTGATCATGGCCTTGGAGAACTGCAACTTGTGCGCGAGCTTGGTGCATTGGATAGCTTCCCAAAAAGCTGGATCAATTCGGGCCAACCCGACTTTCTCGGAATTGGCTTCGCACACAAACTCCGGGAGAAACGTCATGTCTCCGTCCAATTGGTCCACCAGACGCTCCTCGTATTGCATTAAAATACCATCCACCGATGCAGATCGCAGCCACTGCTTTAGTTCACCCTGTGGTGTGACCAGCGTGGCCTGCTCAACTGGTGATGGAGATGGTGAAGGTTCTCCAACCAGGGGCATAGGGGTTCCCTTGAGGACTCTATCCCCAGTACGAGGCTTCTTGTTTGCAACCTTCGCTCTGGGAGCTGCAACGCTACCGTGGGTTACCCTTGGAGCATGCCAGGAGATCCTCAACGTTGGATCATCCCATCCCTCCGTTGGCGCAAATCCTCCTGAGTTGCTGGGGTGCCGAATCCACCCTGAGGTGGGACTGCCCAAGCACCAACAAGTTTTCTCTGTAAACAGCTGCACCTCTTCATCATCGATCTTTGCAAAAGCAGCTTTGCCATTCCTCGTGCCTTTTCTGCGGTAGCTCCCTCTGAACTTGGGGTTCTGGCACGATACTGTCAGAGCTGCCTCTGGCGCGTGGGACCGGGATCGCGAACGGGACCGAGGCCTCTCAATTTCAGGACGAGAAGGTTCTGGAGATTGTTTGGCCGATGCCGGGGCTGATTCCTGGACGGATGTCGGGGCGGATGTTGGGGAAGATGTTGGGGAACACGTCGTGGTAAGTGCCTGGACGGGCTGCTCCGTGGTAACCTCGTCTGAGAGCTTGGCATCTGGCGATTGGGTTTCAGGATGATGTCCCTGCAACTCCTGTTTCATCGCTCGCAAAGCTTCTGTTGGTCGGGGTGGCTCGAGCAGGACGCGCAATCCATCCCAAAACACTCTTCGGCTTCGTGCCAGAATTGTTGACAGCCAGGCTTGCCCGAGTTCTTGTCGAATCTTCATTGGTAAGTTGTTGGACGACATTGTCATCATCTCAACCAGGGACCATGAAAGGTCTGACCGACTCGTTCCAAGGTTGCTCGCTTCCTCCAATATAACTTTGTCAATTGCAGCTGTCCAGGCATCAAGCTCTGCTGTGCCCGCCTGGCGTGTTTGTGTGTTGTATTATATTATGTGTTACTATTTTATATGATATTGTAATATATACTGTACATATCTGTACATGATGTATATATAGATTTTAATATTACGAGGGTAGTAAGATAGCCAGTGCCAAGCTTAGAGAAGTAACTAAAGCTCCAGCCCAGCCCGTCAACATCCTTCAACCCTTCGCACAGTCGAAAGGATTTGAAGAGTTTGTCCTTAAAACTTTATGGCTCAAAAGTTTGTTTTTCTAGATGGAAGAGTGGCCCTGTCAAAATTTGGCCCTTTCAACATCTAGGAACTACTTTGCGAGAGGGCTCCTCTGTGTCCTCGCTACTGGATAGAGGGAAAAGTTCCGCGAAAAGGGTAACACGCCCAAAATCAAGTCGGGAACCAACCAATCGCCAGCCTTTCACGTTCTAATCGCGGTCGCATTGCAGTGGCAACAGTGCCAATTGCTGGACAAGTCCATATCATGAAGGCAACTTTAAGGCACATGACAACTCCGGATTTTCATTTGATCGCACTTGCAGGAACAGAAAAAGCTAGATGAGCCGCTCTCAGAACCCTTAGTCATGGTCACAAAATACACTTGCCTACCTTCCATGTTTTTCTTATGCGCATGCACGGAGGACTCGCTTCCAAGCAATCAGTATCTCATTCAGTCCGAGGCATGTCTCCATACGTAATACATTATGGTGTCTGTAGTAGGTTAAGAATCTGTAGCCAGCCTCCTATATAAACCCCAAAGGTTGACAAAAACAACCAAAGCTGCCGAAAACATTGCCATCCCGCGTGTTGCTCTGTTGATTAGAACATACCTTACCCCTAAGCATTACAAATACCTTGCATCTTCACAAGCCACCTAAAAAAAAAACTGTCAACACCCCCATACACCCCCCGCCAATGCCTCAGTCGGGACATGCTTGGCAGAAAGGGCAATGTTGCTGATGAAGGTCTTGAAACGCTCCAGCTCCGACCGCTTTGGTAAACTCTTGATGCGGAGAATGATGGCGTGCGCAAGGGCTGGCATGGATGCCAGTGCCTCAACCGAAAATTTCAGCCCAGCAGCTACCACTTCCTCTGGCTCTGGTTTGCTGCATTGCGCAAGGGCTTGCATCAGTCTGCTTGCAAAAGCAGCTTCCAAAAGTGGCACACGTAGCTTTGCATCAGTGAAAGGACCGAGAAGGCATTCAAGGCATCTGGTCAGTTCTTGCCACTGCTTGGGGATGGATTCCAAGATGTTTCTGTGGTGACATATCTCGATCAGAGTGTTCAAAGAGCCTGCGTCCTTTTGGCAAACATAAACGATCTGTTCCATGTCTTTGATTTCGGGAGGACATGTTCGGCAAAGATCCACCAGTTTCTTCAAGAAGGCACTCTTGATTGTCAGCTTGTCTTCACATCCGGACAGGCCAGTTAGGATGGCCACGATTTTCTGCGTAGAAATGTCTTTGTTTTTGTACTTCTCTGCGATCTCTTGGAGTACATCAAACTCTTGGGCACGAACCATCGCTGCGAGGACATGCGGGAGAATCTGCTCCTGGTTCCAGGTTGTGTTGCGTGTCTGCCGCGCGTGAACCTCATGTTTTATTGAGATGCGAGAATGATACGTGAAATTTATGTGGTTATGGTTGTATGAATCAGTGAATGAACTCCGACCCTATTTGGATCAATGTTTTCATTTTCATAGCATCCTTTCCTTCCCCAATCAAGAATGAAAAGAAAAACCAAATAACCCCCCCATAAATATCTGCGAAACGAAAACATATGCCCTTCCTCATCAATCTTCGCAATGTTCCATGGAGCAATGAGGGTTTTGAACCAATTCTTATCTCGCAACTGCTTGAGAAGCTTCTCCAAATGATGCAGAATACCGAGCTGGCCATAGGTTGCAATGAAATGCACCATTTGATCTACAGACCTGAGTTGAAACCATTGCGCCGACTGAGGCTAGGAGATCATAGACCTTGAACAAGCATGAACCGCCTTGCATATCTACTCAGCACCAAATGTTGCAGCAAAGCGTCACCTTCGCCATTGCCTTGACCACCCGGGCAGCTGCTTTTCCAATCTTTTCAAACATCTTCACATTTGGATGTGGAAGCTTGAAGCCGTTGACCACAGCAGCCAAGTTTTCAAAGTCCCAGAGATCCAGTTTGGAGATCTCTAGCAACCTGAGGTCAGGCCGCTTTAAACATTTACAACGCCTGAGCGCATCTGCAACTACCTGAGAAGTGAGCAAACGAAAGCCCTCGCAAACGCTTAGAGCAACGCGTTTCACTGCCAACAAACAATGTGAGAGTCTCCAACACTCCCGCACGGACCACCTGACAATACCCAAATCGTTCGCGAGATTCAATTGCAAGGCTCGAAGATGCATCTGCCGTGTCCTGCTTTGCCCAATAATCCCGAGTACCTAATACAAAGCGTTCCCCTATCAAAAAATCCTATCGGAGACCCCTAAATACGGTTTATGTTTGTTTATAAATTGCCGCCCTGTAATGTGGTTTTAATATTAGGCTCCAAAAGGAACCCTAACTGTCCACCTGTGTCCACTTTTCGAAATGTTTTGTTGTTGGTCCAAAGAATCACTATTTTACTGAAGGCTGTTGCAAAAAGAAAAGGAAGACCCTCCCTTCGATCTGGAGGATTTTCTATTTTTAAGGATTTTATACAAACTTTTCGCTCTGAAGCTCTTCCCAGGTTTCCATCTTTGCTGTCTTTGCTAACTAATGATTATTCAAAAGAATCCTCCCACTGACCCTATATTGGACAACCCCTGCTTCTGGGATCCCCTAGTAAAAAAGAACGTGCCCGAGTGTTTTTAAGCATGGGGCGCTTGTCGGAGGTGGCCCCTTTTGCCCCGAGACGGCCTCCAAGCCAGGCAGGAGGGCACCAACAAGAATCCCTCCTTAAGGTCTTTTCGGGGGACATGGTGCTAGAACCCACTTCTTCATGTGTGCCCTTTCTTGCCCCGAGACGGCCCTCAAACTAAGAAACCCCGACTCCCTGAATCTAGATCCACTGTGTCTTTCCACACCGACAGTTCATCTCAAGCAGCAGCCAAACCTCCCGCACTTTGCGGGTTTGTCCCACAAGTTTGCCAGAATTAATCTCAAACAGCGGCTCGCAAGGTTCAATTACAACGTTCAACGACTCGAAGACGCACTGCCATGTCCTGCTTTGTCAAGGGTCATATCGCTACAGGCCGCTTTTCGGAGGCGCCCCCTTGTTTTGCCCCGAGACGGCCTTCAAACAAGGCGCAAAAGGGCACTAGTGGTATGTGCATTATGGTTGTTTATGGGTTTTCGGGTGTTGAGACCATCTGTGCCAATCCCTCTTACATACTTGTTTGCAATGTGGGTCGTGCTTCGTGACGTTGTCTCGTGAATCCCCACCCAAAATCAGCGAAGAGTTGCAAGATGTGGGTCCGACATCATGAAGAAGAACGTGACGGACACTGTCAGAGAACCCCAATGAACGTTCACAGATTGTGCATTGTGCATTGGCTGGAAAGAAAAAAGACAAAAATAATTCGTTTTACCCTGAAGGACCTCCAAGTTGAAGGCAAGCATCCACTTATAGAATCCTGTGTTTATATAAGCTATCATCTGATCCTTACTGCCATGACTTAACATGTTTTCCTGAAATTCTGGACCAACGATCACCTTTGATTTCCTCATATTTTGACTCCTTCTGAAGTCCTGGACGAATGTGATTTACAAAAAAACTCTATATTCAGTGTGGCTGAGGTCTAGGAAAAAGTAGACACTGTCAGGAAAATGATTGTTGCCGTGTCCCACTTTTGGTCAGGGACCTTCTCACTACTAGTCTCACTAGAACCCGCCCTTCGGAAGTATCCTTTTTAGCCCTGGCACCGAACTTTGGTGCCAGCACCCACTTCAAAAGAGGCGCCTTCTTTTTTCTCCAATGTTTCTTCGACTCTCTGCATCTAGATCTCTGTAAATCACAGTGTCTTTCATTTCACGCATGGCTCGACTTCACACATGGCTTGACTCCATGAACTGAACCGAAATACAAATGCCGAGGCACGCCAAAATTGATGATGCAAACAATGCTGGTATCAACCGCTGCTGCATCACTCGCATCACAAGGGCCCTCAAAATGCGACTTTACTACTCGCCATTTTTTCGCTCTCCCTCGGCAGGCTCTGGGCTCACCCTTCCAAAACCTCCCTTTTTGAACCTACCCCTCCACACTTACTAACACTCACTTCGTTTGGCTAAACAGAACTTCAGCCTATAGCCTATGAGCTGGCTTTTGTAGAAAAAAAGACATGAAGATATAAGTAAGCGAAGAAGTGAAACGCATGTGAAATGAAGACGTCCAGCCTTGAAAGTCCCCGCAAGCCCATGGAAGAAGCGCGTTCGAGTCTAGCATCTTTCACCGAGCCAATGAGCTCAAAAGCTCTTACCATCTGACGGAGACCGTTTTGCTCCGACGAGATGAACTCATAAAACTTCTCCACGGCAGCGGCCAAGATCTCAAAAACCTGCACGACTTGCTCACTGTATTCGATCAGCATCTTCTGCCAGACCAAGGAGTAGAAATACGCCAAAGATGCACAAAGTTTGGCAAAGTCGAAAAAGCTGCTGTAACTTCGAGAAAAACAAGCTGGGCATATCTCAGGATTATCATCTTCAGCGATTTCTGCAGCCACCCGGGAAGCTGCTGATGTCAGGATCATCTGGGGTTCCTCAACTGCAATGGCTCAAAACAGTGGAATCAAAATGAATCAAACGAATGCACACAGACTGGCTGGAAGGTCTTGGTTCCTAATTAGAATGAATAAGAAAACATAAGAAAACATCTTTAAAAAAATGAATTAGGGACAAACAAACAACAACTTTCATAATTTGCCTAGCCTTATCATGACAATTATCATGACAAGGTTCCGTCATGTCCATCACGCCCACGAAGGGCTTCTGCGTAGCTGACACCAAACACTCCGTTGCAACGTCTAAGGATACATATGAGCTGGACTCATTCCTCAGCATACTCAAAGATGCTGCCTTCAATACTGCCACCAAAGATTCCTTGCAGGGCAATGCTCGTTAAAAAGCCTAGACTGTTGAAGAACAACAAAAAAAAACGTGTCAAGACCCAGGAACCAATAATGAAAACAATTGTTCGAGCTAGGTGCCTTCTCATCATAGATCTTTTTGCCGGCTTTCTCGTAGTTGATAACCGACTTCATCACATGGGAGATCTGAAAGGGCACTATGGCAGAGCGGATCTTGCCTGGTTCAGGGGCAACTAGACGTTTGAAGGCCACAGCCGCAAGTTCCCAGTGGGTTTGCTTCTCCAAACAAATCATGAGCCCACACAGCTCAGCCAGTCTAAAGGTATGCGGCAGTTGAAGCGGCAGCTGCTGAAGCTTCTGGCTGGCAAACATTGCAATTCGATGTTCCAATTTCCTTTTGTCTTTCGAACTTCTCTCCGATTCTCTCATTGCAGCACGTGCTTTGCCACTTTGGCTCAATCTAATGCCCGTCTGGTCCGCTTGGAACGAGAGCTTATGGTTTTCCACAATTTTGTTGCACTGCTCTAGCGACTGTCCACACCGACTTGATAATGAATGTACGGACACGCCCCCACTGTGTGCAATTGCACGGCTCATTTCGAAAAGACAATCCTCTACATCTTCCACTGCTGTCTTTGTCTTGGGGTGGTCATTGTCTGCTTCTGCTGTGGATGGAGCCTGCTCGTGTCTCAAGCCCTTGGTTGTGTCCACCGCCATGTCAGGCCCAGAGCAGTGTTGCAGCACCAATCCCATTACTTGTGGCACTGCATGCCAATCTTGTGGTAGGCGGACGATTTCAAGACACTGTAGCCAAAATGTTGAGAGTTTGCCCGTTATCAACACCTCAAACCAGCCATGCCACTGAGAGTCCTTGGCGCCAGTTTCTGCTGCATGCCCACAAGTCTAGGGGACTTGCAAAACTTTGCAATCACTATGCACTGAGCGCTTGAACAGGGGAATCTGCTTTCCAAAAACAAAAAGAATGAACCTCGGATGCTCAAGAACAAACTCTGGAAATGTGTTGATGCATTCAACGTTGTGAACATTGGCAATGACACAGTTCTTGTCAACTTTCTAACAGGCGGCACGTTCCCTGTATCTTAGCTTTGGGAGCAGTCCAACTGCTGCCCTAGATGAATCCTGAAATTTGCCAGTGTCTTCCAATGGCATTTCATACTCCTCTTTCCATCTTGAAAAAAAAACTGTAGCTCTTTGGTCCTGTCCTGTCCCTCAGAAGTTTATCGCACTCTCTCTCTCGCTCTCACTCTGTATATATACAGTATATATATATTGCTTTAATGTTTGTACGCTAGAGCCACCTGCGAGTCATTTTTCAACATTTCAACAGCTTGCAAAAAAAAACATTGCCATTGCACACAGCTCTGCATTTGTGTGTGTGTGTGCGCACGCTTACACTCCGGCAAACTAACATGGACCCTGAGAATGGCACCCTGAAAGGTTGTTATCTTCTACAAACCGGTGGTTTTCAGGGTCCATGTTAGTCTTCGGCAGGTTACGCATCCAAAAACTTTGCCCGAGTGTGTGTGCGCGCATGCACTTGCCGGCTTGAGACTGCGCTCAAAGCTTAGGAATGCATACCTGTGGCAATCACACGTGGCCTTCCCAAAGGCCTTTCGGTCATTGTCTATTCCAAATCGTTTCTAGTTGTCGTTTGGTATCCAAGTGGTGCAATCGTAAAAGTGAAAAGCCTGGCAGGCAAAGTATGTATGATATTGTATTTGTTTGCAGTTGCATTGTATGATATATCTTGTCTCAAGGCCCTAGCGCATTCTGATGTCCAGCGCTTCCAATCTATGTGGCTCTATTTTCTGTGCTTGCAACTCTTTATCACTTCACAAAGGACAGGCCATGTTTGTCAACAAGAGACCACTATGTATACATCGTTCCTTGCATGCTTCCTGCAATAAACACTGTAAAGCAGTAACGCATCATAAAGCATCAAATGAGTGCAACAACCTGGCAACTTGAACTCACGCTGCTGAGCCAAGAATCAGCAGGGACGGCCTCTTTCATAGACACATAGCCTCTTGCACGCAGAAGAAGTCCTTGTTGCCCCGTGAGGAATTCCCCGAGGCTTTTGAAACCTTTGAGCATGGCCTCGTACTCCGATCGATGAATGAGTTGGTGCTGTGTAGAAGCTATCGCGCATATCAACGGTGCTTTGTCTTTCGATGGCAGGCCTTGGAAGACAAAGGTGTCCAGAAAGCATGGACCAAAAAAGAGCTCTTTGTTTTTAGCCCTTGGCCCTGCCAATCAAGTAAGTATGCGCCTACTTAATTAAGTCAGGGAAAGTAGCTACAGTAGGAGCTTCCTATTGCTAGTAGCTTTCCCAGGGAAGCTCCCCCCCGCCCTCAAGCGCTCGCACTAATGATTTGGTCCCTAGATTTTGGGGAAACTTGACTTTCTAGAATATACGATTGCAGAAAGGCACACAGTACACTGTACACAAAAAACTGGACATACTAATATGTCCATGCAATTTATCTTTTTTGCAAATATGAGCTTCCACTCCATTCGGCACAAAGTGCTTGAGAAACAAGGGCTCTCTTTAAGGGCGTGGTCAGCCGATTCAGACTCAGAACGGCCACTGCCAAGACTGTGAGACATTCGTTCTCTTCCGCTGTAACCTTTTTTGCACAGGCAAAGGC